TTTTTTTTTTTTTTTTTTTTTTTTTTTTTTTTTTTTTTTTTTTTTGGCATGGTTCATTGTACACATATCTGAGCAACAGAGGCCCTAATAGAGCTCCCTCCATATGGCACTAAAGACTTTGACTCAGCAGGTCTCTTCCTCTAGGTCTACCTTCCTGTCTCTCGCTCTCTGGCGCTCTATCTCTCTCTCTCTGTCTTATAGATAGTTTACATGTCATTTTTTTGGTGGGCCCCATTCCTAGTTCTTTTCAGTTGTTGCTGGGCCGCGCGTCGCGTTGTTTGTCCAACGGTTCTCATTCTATACAATATCATATATATTTATATATGTATATATAATATATATCTATTCACCTAAATAGCTCTCAGTTTGCTTTGACGTCAATTATTTCTGTGTGTTTATCGGTTACTCATAGTCATTTTGTTTGCTGTTATTTACATAGCTTTTTTGCCCCCTAAACGTCGCAAATTGCAGTTAATTAAGCTTAATTGAAGGCTTTGGGCACAGTTTGACAGTCACTGTAGTGCGCCTGCCACCCACAAATGCGACGCATTTTTTATTCAATTGAACTTTTCACTTGACTTTTAGTAAACTGTAAATAATAAGCAAATGAGATAGATATGGATAGATGGAAGAGCAGAGAGCGTACAATTGGATTTCTAATTAATCTCATTTGAACTGAGAATCAAAACTGCTTGAAGCGTTTATAAACACTGGTTCTGTTGCTGTTATTTATTTAAAAAGAATTTGAGTTAGCTTGAACCTTGCGATTTATGTAGAAAGTTTTCTACTTGTAAAAAAGACAGACAAACGTAGCTGAAATCTTTCTTCTGCATTTACCAACACTATAGCTGGTAGTATCAATATCTATTCTCTGTTAACAAAAGTTAAATAAGAAATTATGAATCTTAACAATTCACTACCAGCAATTTAATATATTAAAATATTGTTTAGTGCATTTACCAACACTATAGTAAAAAACATTGACTGCTGTTGATGATTATTTTCTTATAAATGATCTATTGAATCGTAGCCATCCAGCTTTCTGTTTATGGACATGCTTGAACGCCCAATTTCCTGCAGTCAATTCTCTTCTTCTTATAGGCAAACCTGACTGGAATATCAACTGGTGCATTTATCAACACTGCAGCTAGGGCTTGGCTATTAGCATATGCATATACTGTAATGCAAATAAGGAATATAATTGATGCAGTCATGTTTTGTTTTCTGCTTCCGCTAGTCGTCTATACACTGAATGAACTTTCACAGAACTTTGCAACACTGGCTAACCGTAGCAACACACGTTTGTTGAGTGCATCAGCTTCACTGTGCTGCGCTTGCAACACAAATGCGCGTCCGCCTTCAACATGCCTTATCGCCTGTAAATAACAGCTGAGCACACATATGACGAGTGATTTCTTATATATATTTATATATATATATGTGTGTATGTATGTGATAATTACACTGCACAACAGTGGCAAACTTGGAATCGCTACAGTCAACAATGCGATTTCACAAGTCTAGCCAAAAGTCTTTGATGAGCGCAACGCCAACATTTGCTTTGGGGTGCAGAAAATAAAACACCTGGGCGTATGCTTAATATTTATGAAATTTATATGGGCTAGGCAGGCATGCCTCCGACTCTCGACTGCTCAACACTAAGCAGCAAGAGCGCTGAAATTAAAAGTGATACTGAGTTTGAATTTGAATTTTAAAAGCCACATGAGTGTGCACAAGAAGAACAGCTGCTGGTGAAACAGAGCTGAGAATGCGTTTAGTTAGTTTAGAGTTAATGCATATTTAATTAGACGCTTTGTCCGATTTTGTTGCAGAGTGTAATTTAGTGTTGCCAGCCCACAGCAAGTTGCGTTCGCCGCCGTCGAACGGAAAATAAAACAAATAATACAGCCTCCGGCTACGTTTGCAGTCGATTGGGGCAAGCAAATGAGCAAAGACGACGCCGAACGCGCAAAGCCAACGAGAATTTTTGTTGAATTTTTGATGAGCAGAGTGCAAGAGGCAAACAGAGCAACACACCATACACAGTACATATAGAGTCCCAGATAATGTATATATCATATGTGTGCAAATGCATTTGAAAAATCACATGGCTGATATGCAGTTGGTGAATGAGCTGCTCAGCGACTTGCGGCATATGAAAAAGAATTGTGTTAGTAGTAGTTCGTAATGCCATTCAATTATTGATCTCAACTAATAATATTTTTGTTTCTTTTGTTGTCTTTCCTTTTCGTTTTAGCTGGAGCTGCTGCAGCGCAAGGTGGACGATCTGTCAGATACGCAAAATATAGCCGAGGATCGGACGACGCGCACAAAGACTGAATATGCGGTGCTCCAGGCGCGCTATCACATGCTCGAGGAGCAGTATCGAGAGGTAAGTTTGTCGACATAGTGACAGTTTGACAGTCATTGATAATACTCCCGTTTCGCTGGCAGTCGGAGCTGCGCGCCGAGGAACGTCTGGCCGAGGAACAGAAACGGCATCGCGAAATTTTGGCCCGTGTGGAACGCGAAGCCTCGCTGCAGAATGAGAACTGCCAGATAAAGATCAAAGCCACCGAGATCGAGGCGAATGCACTGCGCGATGAGGCGCAGCGATTGCGTGTCTTGTGCGATAAACAGGCCAACGATTTGCATCGCACCGAGGAGCAGCTGGAGCTGGCACGCGATCAGATTGCGGCGCTGCAGCAGGAGTGCGATGAGCAAATGCAAACGGTGCGCCGCTACGAGCAGGAGAAGAAGTCCACCGAGGAGCTGATGCTCGAGCTGAGTCGCGAGCTGCAGCGCCTTCGCGAGGAGAACGGGGCGCGCGCCATGCCCACCACATCACCCGAGAGCATAAGACTGGAGGAGCTGCATCAGGAGCTGGAGGAGATGCGTCAAAAGAATCGCTGTAAGTGAATCGTACCCTCTTCTCTCTATATGTACTCTATATTAACGTATACCTTCTCTCCTTGCAGCACTCGAGGAGCAGAACGAGGAGCTGCAGGCCACCATGCTGACGAATCAGGCCACCATGCTGACGAACGGCGTGGAGCAGGGCCGCAATCTGCTGAACGGCGCGCTCAACAATTTGGCCCAGGAGCTGGAGGAGATGTCACAAGCTCAGGTTTGTAGGCCGACCACACTTAGCCAAGCTTCACTGTTTCCTCGCCGTGTCTATGCCTATGCCTATGCCTATGCTCTTTTGCTTATATTTTTTTATTATGCCGCGTCCACGCCCACAATCGCATTAGTCAAACACGCCGCCCACGCACAGTCACAACTGCTTGTTAGAATCGCACAGTCTGAGAGTCCCGCATTTCGTCGTTGTTGTCTTCTTCTACATCTCACATATGGTTATATATATATATAAATGTATTTATTGTATTACAGGATTCTGTGGATTCAGCCACATTAGCATCCTTAAGTCAGGTAATGCTTATCCACAAAATCAAATTCATTAAACCAAAAATCAAACAGAACAAGGTTTGGGAGCCGTTGTGCATGTGCTGCAGTTTGACAGTGACTGACTGTCAGTTGGTTGTGGTTCACTCTAATTAATTTACAATCACTATTACTTTCGGCACATTTATTAATGAAATTATCAAATTCTTACGTTGGTTTCATTGGGTACTTAACGAAATTCATCAAGATCATCAAAAAAAACCCATAACTCTCATGTTGTATATAAGAAAAGTCTGTGTTTAATGTGTTCAGTGTGTAAGACTCTCTTCGAGACTATTCAACTAATTGGCCTTCAATCAATTACAGCTGCAACAGGCCTTCCAGGAAAAGGAAGATGAAAATGTGCGACTCAAGCACTATATCGATACGATCCTACTCAACATCGTGGAGAACTATCCCCAGCTGCTCGAAGTGAAGCCAATCGAGCGCAAATGAAGCCGCAACTCTATGAAATGAAATCAAGATAAATATACATATATTAGCCGGATACTACTCTCTGGACCACCTTTAACCTTTACTCAAAAAGAAGGAAAACAAAAACTAATGAACTAATTTAATATAAATTTTAAGCAAGTCCCATATATTTATGTATAAACTTTAAGTCATAATTTATTTTATAACAATTTATTGTAGTTTTTAAACCGAACAACACAAGTGAACAGAACTACGGATCTATGTATGTGAAATTATCCAATGCGAATTCTGTTGATCATTTATATATACGATGTATCTATCTATCTTTTGCATCTAACTTTTTAACCAACCGTTATTTGTGTATAAACAAAATTTCATGTTTGTAAATTAGCAAAAAAGAGAAGTTTCAATTGTCAAGCGAAAAGAGGAAAAAAGAGAATGTGTAACCCAGCAAATTGTTTATAGTTTTTGTAGTGTTGTTGAGCCCTGAAGATATTAACTATAAAAATTTCTAGATCGTAAGATTATACACTTTTTAACCATGAAAATTGATGAATATAAACCAGAAATGATAACTAGAATGTATATGATGTGTATATGCGTTTGTAGACCTAGCGAACGGTATGTTTTACTCTATAAAAATAATAATATATTATTTGAAATTTGTTAAATATAGTTTTAGTTATGATGGGCAGTGCTTGGGAGACATGGATTCAACTGTATATTGCATTCTATTCAAGGTTCTGTAGTAACCCCAACTATTTTTCGTTTCTTCAACTTTCTGTGCACATGGCCAAATTCCTCGTTTCCGATATATTTTCTGTCTATCCAATTTCCAAGCGTCTTACGCTGCCCATATATACTAATCCAGATCAATGAATGAACCTATCAAAAATTTGCGTTTATGGTATGGACAATCCCCAGGATATGTAGTTGGAGGTTTTAGTTATACTCGACAGATAGAGAGAGAGAGAGGGAGAAAGCAGAAATAAAAAACATTTTAATTATAAAAATAAAACATAATTAAACAAACTACGTACTACTTATGCATGTGTATTTGTAAACTTAAATGATGGACGTAATGTGCAAAGTTTTGGGCAACCCAAAGCAGTTTCATAGACGAACTGTGGACGAACCCCAATAGCTTAAACTTAAACTCAACGAAAAACTTAAAACCGAACTCAAAGTGGTCAACTTTTTAATATATACATATATATATAAAATATATCGAAACTAAATTTAATAATTTGCTAATCAAAATATTTGATGCCTTAAATGATTTTTAAACAATGCTAGCAATTAATTTGTATAATATAGACGGATAGATAGTGCGGAGTTCTAAGCTTGTAGATAACACTAACGAAAAGTCCATTATGCTTAACTAAATAAATATATTATACATAACTAAATATACAAATATGTATGTAGTACACACAAACAACTATGCTGTATGCATCAAGTTTTAAATGTAATTTACACCAAGGAAGTGTACGAAATATTACTAAAAATAATAAAGAACAATTTTATAAGAAATGCGAAAGAGATGATTTTACCAATTGCTTAAATATTAATGAGTGCTCAATGAAGTGTCAAAAAAAAAAAAAAAAAAAAAAAATGCAATTAGCATAATTTTTGGATTTATTAAGGAAAGCTTTGTCCGAACTGGTTCTGGCAGAATTTGCTGTTAAGTCATCTCAGCTGTTCGATTGCATGCTTCAAACCGGTTCCTCAGGCTACTTCAGAGGGCGTCCGGAGGTGTATAAAAGCCCATGCCAAGACCCAGTTCAGGACACAGAAGACCAACAAGTCAAAGTCTGAAGATGGGAAAGCTCCTTTTGGTATTGGCCACAGGTTGGAACTCTCATCTAAATATAAGCCAAGCAGCTCATCTCACATCTCTTCTATCTCTTCTTAGTGCTGCTGTGCTCCGCGTTTGTCACAGCGCAGGTGAAGCCAAATGAAGAGATCGGCCGGGTTACAGTCCAGGTGCCGTTGCTGTCAAATGGAAAGCCCGTCATGAGCCAAGATAAGGAACTGGTCGAGGTAGCGCGTGTGGTGGAGGTGAAGCCGGGCAAGCTGACGCCAGAAGAGGTTGTGGTGCCCCTAGTCAAGGTACGAAACATGAGAGCTATTCGGGACACTGAGAATCCGAGCAAACCTAATCCGGGTATCCCGAACCCTGGCATGCCCAATCCCGGTATTCCAAATCGCGGTATGCCTAATCCTGGCATCGAGACTCCTGGCATGCCCAATCCTGGTATCCCGAACCCTGGCATGCCCAATCCCGGTATTCCAAATCGCGGTATGCCTA